CTCTCCCATCCTTTTCTTCTTCTCCAACTTTAGATTCCCACGATTTTTTGCTCCCTTTTTCACGCCACAAATTTTTCCACAAGTACCCCATTAATCCATTTTTGAATTTCAAATCTTTTCTCTTTCGAATTAATGATTTCAAGTTATTCAAGAGATAGATCTCTTTTCATAACTTCAGTTTTCAATTTCATCTTCAAAAATTGCTAATACATATGCATAAAAGTTCATATTTCAATATTGGGCTTACCCAATTACTTGAAGAAGGAAGCATCTTCGACTTCAAAATATTCTTAATATTTTTCGTGGGGTCACCTATTCTAGTATTCTAGTAATACTCTTTCAAGCACGCTGAATTTGAAATTCTTATATCATCTTGTAATCATTTTTTCTCTTGGAATTGAACTTAATATGATTCAATGGTTACGCTAATTAATGATAGTATTCTTGCAAGAGCTTCTGCGAGACTAGTTTGCTACAACGGGAAGAATGCAATTGTTCAATCAGCCATAACAGACAAGAATAGTGAGTTTCAGATCGCGCCCAAATCATTAATCGAAGCAGATATCGGCAAGTGCAAGGTGTACTTAGTGAAATCACCAAATCCCACTTGTAATGTCCCAACAAACTTCAATGGTGGAAAAACAGCTTCTAAAGTGAATGTTGAGAAGGAGAAGTCAAAACAAATCAGATTGTTGATTTTTTTTTCTCGATTTTTTCTTGTTCATCTTTTTTTGATATATATGGGTTCAAATTTGTAATGTATTCAGTTATTTTTGTTTCTTAAATTAATGTATACTTCTTTCGTTTCAACATTATGATACATTACAATTTCATTATGTACAATGTATCGTGTTCAAATTACTAAATCATATTACGACTATAGTTTGTGATACATTAACTAGATTTTTATTGTATTAAGTTAATTTTGTTTCTTAATTAATGTATAATGTCTTTGTTTCAACATTACAATACATTACAATTTATCATGCACAGTGTATCATGTTCAAATATTAGTTTTGATACTTGATAAAAAACTTCTATCAAATGTATCAGTTATCATGTATCGTGACTATGTATCTTCTACCTTATTCAATTTTAGAAGGATGTGTATCCGTACACACTATCAAATCATATGCGTGATACATAAATCTTACTATTTTCATGGCTAAATATGTGTGGTAATTTTTTTTGTACAAATTGATACATAACAATGTGTCATGACTACATAATAGCGATCTTGGCACACAACAGTACATATGATACTTATTAACTTATATATATGATACATTAAAGTGCCACACAAGTATGTATCAAATTCTTAAATGGTGATACAAAATTGTTATTATCAAAAGTTTGTTTAGTTTGAGGCAAAATGTGAAGATTTTGTAGCTATGTATCTGATACAATAAATATGAAGCAAATTAATACATATATTAAATTTGTCTAATTGATAGTAAAAAGAAACACAAGCGTAATTTATGAGATTTAATTAGATTTTCAGATTTATTTCCTGTTTTAGCGCAACAGATTAACATTTACTGTAGGACAACATTTATGTATCTGGACAGCCAATTATGTATCCGGATGGCTGATATTTTAGGGGATTTTTGTAAAATAGAAAAGGGTAGGAATAAAATGTAATTTAAGTCTTAAACTATGAGATTTATGTAAGTTATACTTAAATAAAAGTTCAAGGTTTTGGATCTCCTTCCTTTCCTTTGTGGATAAATTTAGTCCAATTTGACTAGCTCACTTTGCCCATAAGTCCATTATTATGGTTCATATGTAAGACTTTCTTTTATGTCTTATTTTGAAGAATCACAAGAGATTGAGAGCAGCCATATAGAGAGAAAAGTGAGAGAGTGCAGATTTTCGCACAAGCCCTAGCAACCAATTTCAAATTGCGATTCCCACTTCTTTTCTTCTCCGATTGAGCTGATTTTTGGACAGCCTGTTCCTTTCAACTTAATCTTTGATTGGAAACTGAGAGAGGATGATTTGGAGTCCTGTAACTCTAGATTTTTGCTCGTGAACAGTAGTTGCGTATTGGGTGTTTATGCTCCTTCTATTTCTCTAGTTTTTGGTGCTATCTTGTAATTGTTTGGCACTTTGTTGGTGACCATTTTGGAGAACACTTTTGTAACTTTTGTTGATTATAGTGGAGCTTTGGTTTTATGGTTTTTACTCTTCAGCCCGAAGAGGTTTTCCACGTTAAATTTGGTGTCTCATGTGTTGATTTGTTTGCTGCCCAAATAGTTTTATTCTTGCATTATTTTGTCTTCTCTTGGTTCAAATAGAAGGAAAAATTTTGACTTAAATTTTCTTTCGCTATTGCCCTGTCGTGCACATTTATTTTGTGCTTGCCTTTCCCAACATTAACAACCCACTCTACTTCATCCTACCAAGTACCAATTTTTCTCTGTATGCCCATCCGTATTAGCATCTTATGTCATAGGCTTTGTGTAACAATGCATTCAAAGAATAAGTGGTCTTGTGTTTCATCAGCAGTTTAACAGAATACACATGTAGGAGGAACATCTATGCCAAACTTTTGTAATCTGTCAACTGTAGCATGCCTCTTTATTTTGTAATTAGTGTTCAAATCCAAAGGCAATACATTAATTATCCTAATATACATTTGATTTCAGATATTTTAATGTTAAAGACAAATAATAAATGCCTAAAATCCTTTGTATTATTAGTTTACATCAATTGAATAATAAAATTTTGTAAGACTATTATAAAGATTTGTTACACTTTATTTTTTGGGTCCAGATAAGGTATTCTTCATTTGTTCGATTTTGGTTGTAGCCATTTTGCATCTTAGTACTATGAGTGGATATCACAATCATTATGTACCAAAATAGATGTTTGGAATCATTTTAATACTTAGATTCCTATGTGATATGATAGAGGCAGCAATATAGGACAAAAAATAAAGGGATAAATAAGACATCTTTAAGTAAACGTAAAAAAAAAAAAAAAAAACTTTCCATTCATAATTTTACACGTTTTAATTTGAAGAGAATAAAATTTGGTGTGAATTCACATTAATCAGAGATTCAAAGTGGATATCACTATTAAGGTGAAAAATTCAAAAAAGTATCATTATTACGAAGAATCAAAGAAAGTTATAATTTTTATTTTGGAGTATAACTTTTTAAAAATATTTTGAGTTATTATATTATACCCTTCATTTCTTTTATTTATCATTTTTTTTAGTCAATCCAAAAAGAATAATATGTTTGTATGTTTAATAACAATTTGACTATATCATAGACTTGCTAATTAAGTAGTTGGCTTGGGTCATGATACAATGCAAAAATCGACAAAGGATTGTGACAAAGTAGTAAATAATCCTTCATCTTTAATCAGAAATCTCGAATTCAAGTCCCTCTTGATACAAAGTCACCTTTGATGAAGAATGTTTTATTCCCAAATATAGAACTTAGAATGTTTTATCCTCAATAAGTCCTTATCACTTTACTACCATCTTTTTGTTTATTTTATTACTAAAAGAAATATTTGATTATAAAATACTTTTTTACTTTTAATAAAATAATTTTTATAATCACACATTATGTTAGATCACAAGTTTCAAAAATTTATATTTCTTAAACATTGTACCCAATCAAATACCTTCACAAGAATTAAAACGAAAAGAATATTATTTATAATGTCTTTTTCAAATATATATATATATTTATTTTTATTTTTAAAAAAAAATAATATTAAATTCACAAAACATTAATAATTGAACCATGTCCCATAAATGGAAGAAGGGACATGGCTATAGCTTTTCCCATAGGTAAAAACACAGAATCGTCCTTGCTTGAAAGTACACCAAATTAACCACAATGTCTAATGTCTACCGTAAATCCATAATAATAATAATGTAAATTAATTAAGGCAAAAATACATATTAATTAACTTTTTCCTTATTCCAATCGTAAAATCTAATAGAGACATTACTATAGATATTCTGACTAAAACAACTAGACATTACATGCCCTCAGAGAATGTTGTGCCTTTTTAAATATTCTTTTTTTTTTTGTGTCTTAATTTGATTCTAAGAATAGATTGAATCGATAGGTTCAACATAGATTTGTTATGAAATATGTCGTCATCAGTTACCGAACATCACATAATAAGTATATCAAGATTAGTATCTCAATAAAAAAAATTATACCAATTTCAACTAAAACCAACAACCAAACACAAGATAAAATGCAATTCCAATATTTCTTATATTTTACTTTTGTAAAAACAGAATTTTTTTCTTGTTGCTTGAATGTTAACTATTAAATCAAAATAGAATATTACAACTATAATATACATTTTGGAGAGAAGTACTGAAAACAACCTTAAACTTGGTGTGAATTGTTAGTTTCATCCTTAAACTATTGACAGTCTTTAAAACACCCCTCTACTTGATTAACTGAACTTAAATATATCCACGATCTGCCACATGACATAACAAGTGGTTTCAACTCTCAAACTCTTGTAGGAGCATGATACTCTTAATAAAAAACCAAGAGAAGTGTTGAATATATTCCTAAACTTATCAAGAATTTAGGAGTGTACTTCACCCATGTGGTAGGATCAGAGGTGTATTTAAATTTATTTAGTCAAGTAGAAGGATATTTTAAGGCGGTCAATAGTTCAAAAACAAAAGTATCAATTTACGCAAAGTTCAGAGGTGTTTTCAATACTTATCTCTACATTTTGGTTTCAAATTCACGAGAAGAAAAAAGGGTCGACTAAATTAGGCCATGAGAATAAGAGGATCCTTTCGAACAAAATCTTTAGTACGAGTAGCCTAATCCCGATAACCAAACGACCCCTCGTGTTTTTTCGAATCCCATTGTCTCATTGCGTCCCTAGTTTTGCAACAAATTACCTCCCTTGAGGTAAAGGTATTGAGATAACAAGGACTAAAAACACAATAGATGTATAGAAAAAAAGAAATGGTATCAAAGTCATCAATATTGTGAATGGTCACGTTCTTCTTTTACATGCAATAATGCTTAGGTCACGTTAAAGTTGAAGTCCTTTTGTATGTTGCAAGTTGAGGCCAGTAAGAGTAGCTTCATCTGTCAACATAAACATGTACGAGAAACCTATCAAATTGTAGTATCTTTAGCTCTCATCTTTAATCCAAATCCTGTTCTCCACTTCTCCACTTACTATATAGAACCAGAAAAGTATGGAGCTTTGTGGTCCTCACATATTCGTTTTTGTTTAATAATTGTGGTGTTGTACACATCTCAACTAGTTCCACAAGGTACTTGTTACTTCCCACTAGTTCCGAGTAACTCAATCTGTCCATCAAAACTTAGATAAATGAATGTGTTTTTGCCTCTACCAAAAAACTTAAACCTGAGACCTCATAGTTCTCATCTCACTTCATTGAACCACTAAGTCATACCCTTGGGTGTTTGACGTGGTCCACACATATTCTCTCCCTTCTCTTTCACCTTTATTGCTAAATTTCACATTATTAATCTACTCATATTCTTGTGCTCCTCACTCTAGTTTTCCTCAACTTGTTTCTTTTTTCCCTCTTCAAAGAGATGGAAAATAGCAAATGGGAAGGGAAGAGAAACATGGAAGAGGAGGATGACGAGGAAGATGAAAATGCTGTAGAGGATACCAAAAGGAAGAGGGTCTTGACTCGCTCCGGAAGGAAGGTATCCATGGGAGAGGGGTCAAGGCAGCCTTCCTGTCAAGTTGAGGACTGCACTGCAGATATGGTGAATGCTAAGACATACCATTGCCGCCACAAGGTCTGTGAATTTCATGCAAAGGCTCCAGCAGTACTTATTGATGGACTCCGACAGCGTTTCTGTCAGCAATGCAGCAGGTTCAGAAACTCTGATCTTTCAATATGCAATTTGAGTTAAACTTCTAAATACACTCATCAGATCACCTTAAAGATAACTAACAAGTAACCGCCCATTCTAGTTACTTGGAAAAAACGTAGTTAAATTACTCTCTGTAGGGGTAAAATGCATTTATATGCACAGTCTAGAGTGCACGCAGACAGCCATTAGGATGCAAACAAACAAGCATTTCACTTTACCAATGACCACAAAAGAACAATTTTTTTAGCTAGAGGTCTATTATATCTACATCAAAGATCATTACCTGCAACAAGAACAAAAAACAGTGGCACAACGTTGCAAGGCTGATAATTCTTCTCTCACATTAAGCACACGAAGTAGTTTCCGGGTGAAAAGCAAATTCATCAATATTTTTCTATTATGCTGCTTAAAATTATGTAATACCTTCATGAAAAGCTCAGAGTCTGGTTGGTGAGGATAAATAGCTTCCAGATTCACGTAACATGGAACCTATGTTGCCACACCCGTGTCGGATCCTCTAAAAATGCACTACTTTTGGAGGATTCGACACACAACTGTCGATATTTTTGAAGAGTCTGAGCAACATTATGGAACCAAAGCCAAATCAGAACAACTATTTTAACTGTTATTTCTTTTGTATGAATTTCGTTGTGCTCAGTGCTGCTTTAAATTTAAGGTGAAGGCAATTTAAATGAAAAATACATGGAGAACAATCTGTTAGTGGAGTCTTAAATGGGGATTCTTTGCCGTCCCCTGCTTTTTCCGGCAGGCAGGAAGCCTTGACTGCTGATTCTCCCCGAGTCCCTGCTGAGATTGATCACATCTGATACTGGTGTATTCTCAGAATCACCATCATTTCCTATAAAGACGGACAAAATATTATTACTACGGAGAAAAAAATATTTTCTCTACTTTCAAACGGGACTGTTACCCAATTTTCTATTCCAAAACGAAGATTATATTGGGGTAACCTAAAGAAGATTCCCTCTTTTCCTATAAAAGTATGTATCCTCTCAATTATGAAACTCAGTATACACAACAATGATTTTACTGATTTTCTAAGCAGCTGCTTTCCTGTTGCAAAGTCTCGACATAGGTAAAATATAAGTACTGAAAACTCACAATGGTCTGAGTATCTGACAATTGAAACATAAAAGAGAGTAAAAACAGACATTAACAAAAAGAAATTAGCACGGACAGAGAGCTTTTCTCCCTGTGCACCATTTCCCTTAGTGACTAGAAAAGAACCAATCAGAATTTACTTGAGGTGATTTTTCTTGCTCTATTTTGTTCCAAGAGTGTGACATCTTGGTTCTCTTGCCATCCTCTCAGAACTGCTTATGCGAAATTTCATTTTTTTTTACATTATAAATTTATGGTAAGCAGATTTCATCAGTTGGCGGAGTTTGATGATGCAAAAAAGAGTTGCAGGAGACGGTTGGCAGGCCACAACGAACGCCGCCGTAAAAGTGCACATGATTCTCCAGGAGAAGGGTCAAGTTGAACGGGCACCTACTAGTGGACTGATGGGAACAGAAGCTCCCTCTGAAACACATAAGAGTTTTATCACGCTCTCTCTCTTCTGTCATTTGCCATATTTCCTTTTTAACAAAAAATGTTATCTTCAGGTATGCATAAAGTAGTAATTCATTTCATTTGAAATGAAAATAGTATGAAAGAATGTGTCATTAACTTTTGTCTGTTGGTATTTCGATAGTTTGTAGACCGAAAATAAAGCTATCCTGTGTTTCACATGGATGCTGCTTGAAAACTACCCTATTGGACTTGTCATCTCACACTACAAAGTTTCTTTTTTATTTTTTTAATTACCATTACTTTCCTGACAGAGCTCGAGTCTAGTATAAAAAATGCTTTCCACCTCATGCAACAAACAACACTGAATGTGCATCGTAAACATAAACAGTGTGAAAGAAACAGGTAGAATTGACCTTCTTAAATGTAGGCATCAGTTAGTGTTCGACTGAACAGAAGCATATAGAAGTATGCAAAAACTATCTTTCATAAAATAATCATCAATATTGCAGCTAAATAGCTAATAATGATGCACAATAAAGCCTAAGAAGAACACTCATTTGAAGAGTTAAAGAGGAAAAAAAAATTAAAAAATGAGAGAACCACAAAACTGAAACTAAAGACACTCGGAGAACACTCATTTGAAGAGTTAAGAAGGAAAAAAACCAAAATGAGAGAACCACAAAGCTGAAATTAAAGATACTCAGATTATCTCATTAAGAAAGTAAAACGTGATTGTGCCAAATTAGTAGCACGATAGATGGCATATAAAAAGAAACATGCAGACCTTGCTACGAGCTTCTAAAGCTTTAAGCCAGCAGGCAAACCAGAATAAATATTGGCAGCAATCAAGATATCTTACTAGTTCAAATCACGCTTGATTCCCAACAGTTTGGCAGACAGCTCCCATGTAACAATTGCAGCTGCATTAGCAGGAAACGCTCTCACAATTGTAGGACCTAGACCCATATAGCATCCTCTAAGACCAGATCTCGCATATATCTACCATAATAAACTGAATCAGGCATTTCATCTAGTATTTCAATTTCCAAAATACAGGAGATTATGGTAACTACCGATTTTAAAATACGAAACGGATTTCTCGTATGGTTTTTCTCTGGGGTAGTTTGAATTATAGTTTTTGCTACATCCAACGGCAGAACTGCTGACCAGCACTGAAAAGAGAAGATGCACAGAATTTATTGGTGTATAAAATATCCACATGGAAAGTTTACATACAGCGTAGAACCAAGCAAGGAAAAGAAAGAGAAGTCATTAAGAATATGAATTCCAACCAAGAATACTCACTGCTATACCGCCAAGACCGCCACTCATTATTCCAACTCCAATATCAATCAATTGGCTAGAGTCAGGGGAAGCACCTTTACGTTGTAGATGCAAGTGATAACGCACATATTCATATGTACTAAAGAAGACAGCGTTTCCGAAAGATTCTCTTAGTAAGGTTGTGAAGCCTCCTCGAAATATGCCTGTGATCTGGAGAGAATCTTTGTCAGCTTAAATGCACACCAGAAGGCAAATTTTCGTCGATCAAAAAATTTCTCACCCCTTCACATTTTACAGTTTTAAGGGCACACTCAAGAGGACCACCATATCTACTGGAGATTGGTACCACAGAATCAGGACCCTGAACTTGCATCCTACACTGGCATCATAGATATAATAAGGATGATACTTCCAAGTAACTCTAAAGCAGGATGTTATGAACCCTCACATCACTTACCTTCACCAGTTCTGATGGACATAGAATGAAGCTGATAATAGCTCCTCCAAAGGCAGCTGAAGGAACTATCGCTTGAGGCTGGGGCTTACCTCCATCAGGTCCACCCTTCAAAGCAAACACAAAATGTTCATCATTGATAACAAGTAACTGAGATGTTGTCGCAAAAGCGCCGAAGTTCCAAGATACTGTTAACGGTTGTGAAAGTAGTTGCCTTTCAACACAAATTAGTCACAAACAATCTTTGAATTAAATCACAGCGCAAACTCATTGCTTGATGAACATTGAACTAACCTGCAGCAATAGTTTTGTTTGGGAGTAAATGCCAAATACAAGTGAGCTCTCAAAGGCCATGCCAATGAACGAAGATGTAGCTCCTCGATAGAGCCCCTTAACCTGCCACAGAAGTTGCAGTTCAGGTCCCTCAGAACCTTGAAAAGCAGTCCCACACAAGGAGGAAAAAGTTCCCAAAAATAAGAAAAGAAAGATAATTGCAATATAAACAACAAAAGATGACCTTTTGTGATGTGTTCAATGGAAAAGGTATAAGATGAGGCTAACAAGCAAAAGTATAAACCTCAATATCTTTGAAGAAATAGAAGCAGTGTTTTTTGTATAAGAAACAGGATTTGGCAGGCAAATCAATTTTACTTGACAATCAGTCAAGACGGCACAATTTGGCACTTATGTAGAAAGCCTCAAGGGAGCTCTGTTTCCTTAGAATATTTACTGCATACTACTTCAGTAACCAGAAAGTTAGATAAACTTTCAAGGGAATAGGCAAATACAATCATAACTCATAAGCTAAGGAAAATATTCATGAATATAAATATGTGCAAGTAAAGATATATGACATTTAGTATAGAGAAGACGAGGCTTATCGGGGATGGATTTGAAATAATGGAATCACTCAATCTTATGTTTGATTGGAATTTCAATATCCGCAAAGCAGTTGAGTCAAGTAAAGAGATTACACGTTCCACCTACTAAACAACATTTCAACAAACAGAAGGGGAAAATCTCAAAGTTGGATCTTGGAAGAAGTTGAGAGACATACTCCTTCAGTTTTTAATATTCTAGCAGCACAATGCAATCCATTCTTGTACTTTATTCCACGAGCTTCCGTATTGTGTTTCTGGAGCTTCACCTGATAAATGCATTTCACTTAACTCAATTGGTAAATCCACATGAAATCACAAGAACCTCCAACACCCGAACAAGTATACTATATATGTCATATTATTAAGATCTTCTCAAAACATAAAATTCTTCCATCTAGCATAGATGACCTTATACTCTGCTTCAGCCAATACCTTACCCTATTTCTTAGAACCTTTATTCAGAGGCAGATGCAACCTTCTAGCACCGGTTCATTTCAACCCGGTACTATTCATGAAAAGTATAAATTTATGCGTAAAACTTCACGAAGATTACAACAATTAGTAGGTTTGAACCCATAACTTTTAAAATATAATAGGTTCAACGTTAAGAAGTTGAATCCATAGAGTTTAAATTCTGGATCTGCCTGTGCCTTTGGAAAGACTTTCCAACTAACAAATTTAGGCATGTAAAGAAAGAAACTATTAAAATATAACTTTCGTTTTTTGTTAACCGTGGTGTCAAGACCAACTTGTGTGCACCTCCACTAATCCCACAAGACATTTGTCACCTCCCACTAACAATACGTACCAGGATTTGAAACTGAGACCTCATGGTTCTCAACCAATTTCATTGACCACTAAGTCACACCCTTAGGGATCATTGCTACAAATTTATACCTTCAACCAAACATAGTATAAATCTAATCCCAAACTTAATCCTGTAATATCTAACTTGAGATTATTTCATCCCACCTCCTAAACTAGTCTAAGAATTATAATCCTAGAACTATAATAACGGGATAATTTAGTTTGTGTACCAAATGAATGAACCCTTAGGTGCTTAACAATCAACCATTTTTTGATTAATAGGCTAAAAGAACTTCTCAATGAATCTAGAGTCAAAACTGTGCTGCACCTAGCCATCTATACTAAGAAAACAGCAAAACCCAGATGCAAAATTTGTTCAACTCTACCAAATATGATAAAATTCGAATTGCATAAATTCACAGGATAATGCAAATGGGTATTTCTATATAAGCTTGGAGTAGTAACCGAACCTTGACGGTATCAAAAGGGTGACCGGTAATCACAATAGCAATACCGGCCATCAGACCAGCTACATACTCCTTGTACCCCGAATTTCCATCCATCTTCTCTATTGCTCCAACTCCAGTTGAGCTGGGTTTTTGAAAGGGTTTTAGCTCAGTAAATCCAATAATTTGTTGGCTCTCAAACTAACACCGTGTTTTTAAAAAAAAATTGAAGCTATGTTTGGATTAATAAAGTAAGTTGATTTTGTAAAGATAGTGGGCCTAACTCAAAAGCTAGTTCGAGGTGTGCAAGTTCGTATAAGGAGATCAATTTTCAGAGGCGTATTCAGGAGGGGTCACCGTGTTCACATAAACTCATGCTCTCCTCCTGAAATCATATATAGTAGTGTTATATTTTTTAAAAATATATTTAAATATAGATATATGAACTCATAGTTGAAGTATCATACCGTGCGATTATGATTGGGTGCACCTCTCTAAGTGGGTTAGAAATTTGAATCTTTTATTTTCATTTCTAAAATTGGATAACGTCTCTCTAAGTGGTTTGGATAGGTAAAAATAATTTTGGACCTATAATTTTAAAATTCTAATTATTTTTAGTGATAAGAACCTAAATGTTAAACCGATCAAATTTATATCTTAGATCCACCTTTTCGTAATAGTATACCCATCATCTCAAAATTAGATATGCCTCTGACAATTTACCATCCCTTTACCGATGTGGGACTTCTTAAGAGTAAAGATATGACACTTGGACCTAACTCAACCCCAAAAGCTAGCTCATGAGGATTGAGGGCAGGTTTACCCAAGTCCATATAAAGAGCCAAATTTTCCATCCCTCTACCGATGTGGGACTTCTTAAGAGTAAAGATATGACACTTGGACCTAACTCAACCCCAAAAGCTAGCTCATGAGGATTGAGGGCAGGTTTACCCAAGTCCATATAAAGAGCCAAATTTTCCATCCCTCTACCGATGTGGGACTTCTTAACATATTTTCGACTTTTTATGAGTAATTTAAAGTGAAAACGCCTTTTTAAATTTTTTGAAAATTCTTAAATTCAACTTCGAGATGAATTTAGTTCAACGCATGAAATAAGTGAAAAAATTCTATGGTCAAATGTGTCCGATAGTTTCATAAATATGTTTTTTAACTTGACATCCAATTTTAATGTGCATAAACCCACAGTTAAATTTGTATAAAATTAAATAAATAGACGCTCGCCGTCTACGTGGCTGATGAATGACAACCAAAAGGAAGTCAAAGGTGTTTATAACTTTATATCTGAGAAAGTTGCAACATTCTTAATCCAAATTGGTTGCGTGGCTGTTGATCAAGAAGTTAAAACCTATCCCTTTTGTCATAGTAATTATACGTCCAAACAATATTACTACTATGAAGAAATTAATTTTTTAAAAAAATATTCATCAAAAGTTGAAGTGAAACTTTGATAAAAAGATTTTATCCATAAAGTGAAATTTCCCTTTACATAATCAAAAGTTGAAGTGAACTTGAGAAAAATATCTTTTAGGCTTTTAAGTGTAGAGAATAGATTCTCATACAAGATTAGCTCCTTTTTCATTCTACTTTTCATAGGGGATCAGTTGGTTCCTTTGTTCCTACAATTAACAAATGCTATATTTTTTTTGGGTAGAGATTGGCAGACTTTAAAACACAAACAAAATAGGAAATAAAGTTGAACAAATTGGATTGGTTTGCAGCTCAATAAGCAATGACAACTTCTATTACATAGAGTAACTTTTTATTGACATAAAGCAGCAACAAAGTGGGTGCTGTCAATAACACTTTTACTATGCACACTGGCAATGACGGAACCATGATTTTCACTTAAGGAAATTCAACTTATAAAAGAGTAAACCTATGCAGACGAGGGGTTTGCTTAGATGGTGAACAATCTCCTTCCCTCGAACCCAAAGATTGTGGATTCGAGTCAGTAAGGAAGCAAAAATACGGAAACTCTCACAAGAGAGGCGAAAAAAGAAAAAAAAAGGTGGGGGTGAGTCTCTCAATATTATACATACATAAAGTATAATTTTAACCTATTTTCACCAAAGGAGATTTGGATGAACCCTCTTTTGGTACCCTAGCTTGCCCACAATCACAATACAAAGAGCTCAAAAAAGTCCACTGGAATCTCAGTCATTTAGATCTTAAGATCACACCAAAAGGGGAATAGTTGAGTCTTACATTCTCATCTAACGTCTCAGGTTTTCTCCTTCCAACTGGCCGCCTGCTAGATCATTCTGCTTCTCCGGCTTGTAAAGGCTTCATCGACTGTTCTAAAAATGAACAAATGTAGACCAAAAAGTGAGATAAAAGCTCACATTTGCCATATGCAGAAATAAAGGATCGGATTAGGTATCACCAGTATCATTCCTACAGATATAGCATCTGCTGAATATATCTGTGGAAGTGCTCTATGGATTTGCTATCCATCCAAAGCAGGACGGACTCTTTGAGAGTTGTCTTAGTCTTCCAAAGTATATACACATGGCTACTGAATTCTATGAAATTGACTCTTTTCATATGATAAGGACAGTATCCCTACTCATTACCTTCTTAAGTAGCTGAGTTACTCTGTCTATCTCCGGCAACCCCTTCAAATAATGACGCCTCAGAAGTTTCCATTGCTCCAGCGAGCATATTGCAACATTAGGATCTACTGCTTCCAAGGAAATATGTCCAATCCAAGCATTTAGATGGAGATATCATTTTTCTGCAATTCCACATATTAAAACTTACAGAAACAGAGAATGAGTAACAAAACAATACCCGTGCTTCAGTATTTGCTAATTGCCATCATTCATTAAATCTTTGAATTTCACAGCGTTTGTAAAAACTTATGTTGCATAATTACAATAGATACATAAAACAGGAGGAGTATTCAGATCCACAAAGCAAAAACCAACTCAAATAAGATGAGTTAGCCAAAAGTCACTAACTAACAAGTCGTAATGCAATCTCTAGGACCTTTACTGCATTTGCTTTCAAGCTAAAAGAACATTTAGTGTTTGCTTCAATGTCATTGGCACATGGTTACGTGTCATACGATGCTCAGTAACTAGTTGTACTGCAAACTATATATTCCATTGACATGTTATACAAGCAATGGCTCAAGAGAACTCTTTCTGTTTCAGGCCAAAAGCTCCAATTAGCATGTGCTTTGTAAATCTTGGACCCGCCAAATAAAACTTAATATATCTACACCGCGATCCTCACTAATAAACATCCCATTCATTGCACTTCCTGTTCGTTCAACACATTATTAGACTCGGAATAATTCTTATGAAGCTTTAATTAACAACTCAATGCTTAATGAAATAGCTATAGGGCCAAAAAGACTCTGTCCAACTTGGTTAAAAAGACTCTGTCCAACATGGTTTAGTCACACCAGTGAATGCATCGGATATGTCCATAATATTGCACTGTTTTTGTCAGAGTAACCTCCCACAAGGTTAGCATGTCAATACTGTGGAGCAATAGTGTAGCTATGATAACCAAAGTCCACATAATCGTTTGGTATCTGTTAAAAGTTCTTTTTAATGACAACGGAGGCCTATGGGTCAACTTGTATGCACCATGATTATGCCGCCGACTAATTGACCATCACACCATTATCTAATAATTGTCTGAACAAGCAGCTGCAGAAACCTGAACCTATGTGCCCCTAGTGAGGAACTGCAACTGTTATAAATGCAAGAATCCCCCATGCAACTACGTAAACATTAACAGCATGCCGCAAATAAAGGATGATCCTCCCACAGCGACAAGGTAGATGCCTCTTAGCTGGGGTGATCTATAGTTATCTGTAAACCTCCATGACTCTGGTGCAAAGACACGATCTCAAAAGCATGCTTGCCTGCTATCCAATTCTCTGTCACGAACTGCAGTTACTAGTTCATTTCATATATAACTAGAACTAGCCAATATCTAACCGCTAACACTAAGTTGATTGGACTTTGGAGCAACATCTTAAAAGAACAAATTCCTTTCAAAGCCGGGATGAAAGACGATAAGTACTTCCTGTAATCCTGTTGAAAAAGAACTGAACAACTTCGCTAAGTTACTAAACTTTATATTTGCTTTTCTTCAAAAGCACAATCTTCTCCCACTCATATTCCTTTATCTACTAAAATATTTTAGTTCCCTAACTTTGAAAGGTGACAACGGCATGGACCAGGCTCTAGTCATGCCGCCTGTTGCGAGCTAATGAGACTTCAATCCCAAAGCCTTTAAAGTATTCTTTTGATAGGTGCCTCTATTTTTATGGGGAATTCACTGCTAATAGATCTCGCTAGTGTCCCCCTCCTTCTCCTGCAACCTTCTGACTCATGGAAGTATACAATGACAATGTCAGGGCGTGAGAGCCAGATCATGAGCCTACCTACAGAACATCAAATTAAAGCTTCATGGATAATTAGTGGCCTCCTCCATGACCTTTTGCATCTAAAAGCCTCAATGAATGCCAGAGAATAAGCACTAATCTAGTAGTTGACTCTAGCGAAGATGATGACATTAGCAAATTATATTTCCTTACCAAGATTGAATCAAACTATTACTAAGTAAACATAGATGCTTCCAAAATTCTTTCGACCCATGAAGGCAGCAAAAAAAGGTCTTATCTAAGAAGAAAAAATCCATATACAAAATTAACATTTTGCTTCTAGCCCTTTAGTAGAAACATTAGTCCACAATGACATGTTTAATTAATTCCTGACTAGTGGCAGCATGTAAAGCAATACTTTTGATGATTCATCTCAAGATTTACCATATTTCTCCAGATACCCCTGCAATCACAAATTAACCAATTGTTAAGTTCAGGGAAGAAAGAGCCTCAACCACAGTCAGCAAGTACTGTTTCAGAGTGTTGACTCACCTCAATCAGCTTAGATACTTTTGTCTTAGATACAGAGAGATATTGATTGATGGATTCAGTCGTATCAGGAACTTGATCGGGTGTCAAAGAGTTAATGATCTTATCTACTGCTTTCTTAACAATCATCTTGTATGCATCCCTCATCAAAAGACCTTCATGCCAAGTTGGCTTAAGCAATTCTTTAACTAATTCCACAAGAGCAGCACGGAAATGCTTCATAACTCCTGACTCATAGTTCACAGATCCATCTCTCCTAAAGTCAGTATCAATTTCACAGCTGGGTCCGAGCTTCTCTAATTTTGATTGATTCCTCTTTTGGCCTCTGGGATTAACTGATCTTGAGTGCTTTTCTTCTTTTGAAGAGGTATTCATGTTCTCTTGATGGGCTATAGCTCTATCAGCTGTTTTTCTTTCATTAGCAGACAAATCTTTCTCGGCGGTGATGGTTTGCTCAATGCTGTCACAAATCGGATCATAAAGACTTTCTGGAGGGGGAATAATTTGACTAAGAAAGGTTGATGGACGAAAAGGCGCAGAAGTCTCCCAGTCATTAAAATTCACCTTGGTCTTATAACCACACGAGTGTTCCGTGTCCCCTGATAAATCAGTCCAAGAAAAAGATTCAGTTCCACAACCAGGAAGTGCTGAAGACTTGTTATGCAGAGACATTGACCTAGTTATACAGTCTCGGCTACGGTCTAAAAGCTTCTGATCACCAACAGGGTCTAGGTTTGAAGAGGAAGAAGTGAGATAAGAACGCCACTTATCCACAGAGCGATTCAAGAATGGCAAATGATGATAATCGGGCATATGGTGGGTCCTCTTATAACTTGTGCCATCCAAAGCTGAGGCATAAGAGGGAACTTCGGTGTTCAGATACTTGTAAGATGGCAGTACTGAGCTACTTGGATGCATTCCATTACAATAGCTATCTTTATTAAGAGAATTATCTTCGAGTAATGGTGGTGAAGAGCTGCCATAACCAGCCAAGTATGATTTATATCCAAAAGTTTCTCTTCCACTGTCCCTAAACGGCATGCTTGACCAATCCTCATCTTTATGCATATGCAAATCATTTTCACTGTTCAACCTTTGATATCCTCCACATTGAACTTCAGATGATGCAAAATCAGAGAAACAATACGATGCTGGTCTCTCGGTGGTATATTTTGAACCTATAACACAGAAGTTACTTTATCAGGAATACTAAAGTTAAGGTTAACCAATTCCAAAAAAATAGTTTGATATTACCTTCACCATTTATGACTTTGTTTTTCATCTTTGCAGTATCTAAAACACCATCCTTATTACGGCTAATTACATAATCCCTTACGTGAAGGAACCTACATGAGCTCCTCAACATTACCAGTTTCAAAAAAATAATAGCAACCTACATGAGCTCCTGTTGATAAACCAACCTCTAGAATAAAATTCACATCTATCTGCTGGTCTTTTGTTTCCACCTCTAGAATCAGCAGGAGGGGTCAAACTTCTGGCCCAAGTCTCCTCAGCATCCAACCTGGAAAAACCAGACCTTCAAGAGTTCTACTTGAAATATAACCAAAACAAACTTCCAACAAGGAGATGTTCAAAAGCAGCATAAGATCCTACTTCCTAGTATGATTAGAAAGTTGAAAGAGAACCAGTATAATGAAACCTTGATGATGTTTGTTGTAAATCCTGTAACACTTCATGATGACCTCCTTCAGTGAATTCAGCACTTACTTTTTGACCAAACGGCTGGTTTTCATGGGTTGTTTCCCCACTATCACATTTAAGAGCTTGGAGATCAGCAAGTACAACGGTTCTTTTTCCTGCAAGAGCCCCATCAGGATCCCCGTGAATCTCTACAAGTCTTATAACAGGAGATTAGAATGTTCCCCATTTAATTTAACAAGAATTCTCACCATCCAAACTTGAATAATTCTTTCCTCTTCTTTCATCAGAATTAGATATCCTGCAACTGTCATTACCCTCTTCAATCATAGGGGTATCAGGATTTGCTACAGGTTTTGGAGTTGAAGATCCTGATCTTAAATGATCTTTAAGACCCAAAGGCTCCAGAATGCGGGTTCCATCTACAAGGAAGAAAGATCAGAGTAAGTCACAGACCAATACAACATCTTTGTGGTGGATACCCTGACGATTGTTTATCCAACAACTCGGTGTCTCTGTCTAAGCATGAAACGATTATCTATTCCTAACAGATCTACTAAGGTACATGAAACCTTATTGCTAAATATTTAGGCCAGCACATATGGTGGAATACACCTCAAGGAGATTCTATACTTCATAATTCCAAATTTTCCATATTTAGGGGATGGCAATGGGGCAGTGGGAGTTGGTTTGAGGAAGAGAAGCCTTCCTCCGATAAAGATATGGCACCTGGGAGTGGGCCTAACTCAACCCCAAAGCTAGCTTATGAGGGGAGTATTGCCAAGTTCATATAAGCAGAACACCAGTCCATTCTCCTAACCAATGTTGGACTCAACCCACTCTAACACCCCCTTTCCCGCCCAGGCCAAATTGGAGCATGGACTAGGAGTCCAGACAGGGATGGATCAGGCTTTGATACCACATAAAGATATGATGCTTGGGCCTAACTCAACCCAAAAGCTAGCTCATGAGGGGAAGATCTAAGTTGCTTCGATTCATCACTTTCGGTGCCGCACCCATGTCGACACGACGTTGGTGTGGGTGTGGGATCCGTATCCGATTTGGTCAACCCTTTTTGGATACTTTGACCAAATTCAAGGGAGAAAATTTGGACAAATTTAATGATTTTTGTTATCAAAACAAAACCTAAGGTGAAATTGAAGAAAACGAAATATCTTATATATATAAATTTCTACTGCCACTCCCTTTCCTTTTATCTCCTTCCAAGATTCTCCTTTTGATCATTATTATTTCTTTTAGTTCTCCACATACTATCTCATAATTTAGGTTTTATAACTCTATTTTTAGCCGAGTACCCGCACCCGTATCCACACTTGGATTTGTATCACCGAATCTTAAAATTTAGGTCATAGAGGATCCAACCTCAAGATCCGCACCTGAGTCCAAGCAACTTGGGAGGATTGCCTAAGTCCATATAAGAAGACTGTCGGTCCAATCCCCAATCAATGTGGGTCTCTAACACCTTCCTTATTCCACCAAGTTATGTTAGATTTCTTCTCATTTTTTATCTAGAAGGATAATTTTCCAAAATCCTCAAATCAAAGCAGTCATGATTAAAGTCACCAGCCATGATGAGTTCTCCGGCAATAAGAAGGAAGGTTGGTTGTGCTTATAATAACTACTTTGGTCTTTGAGCCATCTTTCCCTTTTAAGAAATAGTTCTATTTTTTCAAAAGGAATTTTAAGGAATCATTCTATTAGCCATCCAAGAGTGCGGCTTAATGATCAATCAAGTGGGTTGAGAACCATAAGGTTTGGGGTTCAAACTGAGGGTGATTTATTTCCATCATTCCAAGCCTTGGAGAACAAAGTTACCAGGTACCTATGCTGGTGGGAGATAGTAGTAACTATGGAATTAGTCGAGGTGTGCACAAGTTGGTCGAACACCATGATTAAAAAAAGGAATAGTTCTATTAATGTGACTGAAAATTCCCAATGTACAAGTGCTATGCAAAAAGTAGAGAACCTACGCACGTTGTTCTCTACAACTAGAACACAGTCATCTATGCTTAACTAAGACATTATGGTGTAGATGATGTTCTCTAGAAACTTTAAAACAATCATTCATCTGTAGGAATATACTCTGCCTTTTTAAAATCTTCTTTCTTTCAAAATGGTCTACGTAACAACCAAGAGAGCTACAAACCCATCTTCTTCTCCTCACTCTCCATCTCAAATCCCAATTGACATCATATCTCTAGTAGTAGTGGCATCATTCACATGAGCTACGATCCACATTTTTTATTTGTAATGGTATTTATTTTTCACTAAATTACATGTTGACTTTTTTATTCATCTACACCTTTCATCACAAGAGTTCGCGCTTTAACTATTCTTCTTGCTTAAAGCCCTACAGACACTTCAATTTGTTTATGCTTCACTTTGACATCACTGATCCAAACAAGTGAAGCATGGCCGCATGCAGTACTTCACACTAGCGCTCTAAAGTCCATTGATGCTCACCAGTTTCAACTAGCACAACCACCATCTCCAAAGTCATAACAGATCATATAGTAATCAACCTCAGAAAGTGAAGATGTGAGTATTTGACCACCAAGAATATTCTGTGGATGGTAACAGCCACTCTACATTCATGATGGACCGTCAAGAAGTAACAATTAAATATTGAATATTGAAAAAATTGATTTCAAAAGAAATTTCATAAGAGAAGAAAGATGAGGCAAAGAAGGAATTGATCGAGGTGTGTCGAGAAGTTCAATACCTTCTTGATCGAGAAAATGTCGCTGCTTGCACTTATGCCACGTCCATTTCTAGGGGTATACAAAGTCTTATATAGCAAGGTGAACAACGAATACGTGACAAGAAAACCTACTCTGATAAATAGACACATACATAAAGAAAGTAATCAGCAAGAGTAACTCACACAAGTTCACTCACTACAAGCATGTTATTTTTAAGCTTCTTAGCTCCATTTATATAAGTTTCTTATGTTTCATTATTCTTCCATTGCTTTATCATATCTTTTTTAGGACATTACCAACTTGAGCATGGAAGTCAAACCCAAATAGGTGAGGATTCACTCATTTTTTTCTGTTTCTGAGTGGTTACTCCGCAAGGATGCAATATGCATACACAACAGATGCAAAAGCAGGACATCAACACCTACACATGCAGTTTGCAAGAACAATCATCCTGCGACATGCTACAACTTTCACTCGTTTCGAGTTCAGGTCCCATCTTCCCAATCATCCCATTTCACAGGCGGCAAGCGTTCCATCTCAATCATAAAAAGAGTAATAGGTTTTATTTGTAGGTTTCTCTACTTCAGGCTCTTCCGAGGGCCTTTTTTTTAGGTGAGGTTCTATAGTTTGATGGTTACGTTAATGTTCTCCTCTCCCCTTCACTGGTAGCTAGGAAAGATCATGCCCAGTCACCAACAAATTCCATTGATTCCATTCAACAAAAGGGAAGTTGTCCTTCTATTAATCAGAAACAAAAACATGATTACAATAGGTACTGAATGTACTAATTGTCCCATAACATTGCATAATCCATACCATTAACCAGGCTTCATAAAAAGCAGGGATTAATTAATACTCCTACAATTATCCAAGAGCAACAGGGGTCTAACTACTAAATCGGAATCAACAGTTTTTATCATTAAATTGTACACTATTAAGTATTAACACACTGACATATTTGACGAATGCAGCGAAACAATGAAAATGTAGACAATAGTCCAATACTCATAGCAAGATAGTGAATACGAAAAAGATATAGCAACAATAATGAGTAACAACATAAATTTATCTCGAAAGAAACGAACCTTTTTTATGATTTCCATCATCGAGTGGAGCTGATCCTTCGCTATTTTCTTCTTCAACCTCAACTTTTTCGTACTGTTCGTCCTCGTTAACTGAGAATTTGTGTATCGGGACTGAGTTATTGGTTAGTGAATCAGCCGCCGTAACCATGATGGTATTGGTGTCGGAGGGCCGTTGAATCTGGTAGCGACGGGGCGGAGTTGGTGGCGGATGACGGCGGCCCTAATCATAAACTGTTTATTCTAATGGAAAGAAATAGGGATTTCATCAGACATATTTTTGTTTGGATTTTTGTATGAACATAGAAAATTTTAAGGGGTCGTTTGGTTGCTCAGTATTTTAATGCAACAATTAGTTAATTAACATGAAATTTACGTATTATTTCATGTAAAGTTTAATTATTCAATATACTATTAGATCCTGTATATTGTACCAATCCAAAGTTAACACTTAACACCATTCACTATGGTAGAGAAGTCAATCAAGTTACAAATTACAAATTACAGACTAGCTAGTTAGCGCAATCTATCATTTTTTAATGTACTAACAATAATCATTCAATAGGGTCAAACACATATACAGTAAAACCTCTATAAATTAATACTCGGTAAATTAATAATTATTTACAACAAATTTAAAGTGATAGAAAATAAATTGCAATCACAAATAAAATATGAAGAAACATAGTTTTATTCATCAAGATTGCGGATACAATTTTGTTCCTCCCTTGATTCTACTCTCCTAAGATTTATCCATGAGTCGAGGGCCGTTAGTGGCGTATTTCTCGAACTAGGGTGATTTAGAGTTGACCTCTATATGAATATTCCATGACTCTTGTGGAATATTCGAGATCTTGATCTTTAAAAATACCCAAGAGTTTATGAGATATTATGAGATGCCTTTTAAGGGAATTTAGTACCCTTTATATAAGCATAAACTAGGGTTTAGGCTTGAGTAGCCTCCAAGAATTCTAATTGAAACTGAACACATCTTCTAGAGTCCCAATTCGAATTGAACATGTCTTGTAGAGTCCACAAAATTTCAATGTCTACAAATGCCCCTACTTCAAGGCTTGTCAGAGTGTAGACTCGATAAAACTCAAAAATTTCAATGTCTACAATAATCTCTATAAAATAATATTTTCCTTCGGTCCCGACTTGGGCCAATGGAAAAAATCATCAATTTCGATAAGATAATAAGATAATATATTTCCAAAAGACCACTATATAAATATATGGTCCCATTAATATCATAAATTAATAATTCTTTAAAAGTACAAATATATCTAAGACAATTTAGTGAAATATGATTTTATTATGTTCTGTTTTTTCTTATAATTTAAATCTCTGTTGAAGCTCATCTCTAACTTTTCTTATTGCATCCAAGAGCTCCGGTGTTGTCTTTTCGAACTGCACCATAAAATTGTGAAGAGTTCTAGATGCGATAAGTGTTTCCTTACGCGTAACTGGTTCCAAAGGTATAGTATCATCTTCAACTTCATCTTCAACATTGCCTTTTCCGATGGTATCCACAATTTCTTCTAAACTCTGGACCTCTGAACATATATCACTTTCACCTGGATTATCCAACAGGTTATTGACATCCATTTTATTGTGGTAACCGAGATCATTAATCAATGACCTCAAGTTCATGAATGAAATTTTCACAAGTAGGTTCATTCAAATTCTCTGAGATTGCATCCCCCAAACGAATTTTACAGTTTCGAAAACAATTTGCTATTGTCTCTTGCTGAACATTTATTGTCCAAATAGGGATTGCGAAATTGATAGCATCCAAAACATTAATCTTTGCTGGATCAGTTTGTCCCACTTCATAGTCTTCTAATATCTTACGATAAAAAATTGTTCAACAATACATCTTGAAAGCTTTTATTATCCACAAGGTTGAAATTATTAAAATACAGTGATTTTGATGTATTCGTTGTACTTTATGTATAATATATTTTTTATGTGAGATCAATAAATACGATATATAAATTAGTAAGATACAATGATTTTGATATATTCAAAATTAACCTTCATTAAATCTCAAACCATTCTTTAAATTAATAAATATGAATTTATCGATTAAATAATATTTCTATAAAATAATAAAATTTCATGGTCTCACCTATATTAATTTATAGAGATTTTACTATATTATAAGATAATATTTTATCATAATTAATTTGCTTTAACAATGTCCACGCATCGCGTTGATTAAAATATAAATTTAAAAAAAGAAAATTACACTTTTTAATGAAAACTTAGATTTTGAACTACCCCTAGCTAGATTGTTATAATAATTTTATGAGATAGTTCTTCCTTATTACAAATTATACATACTCAATCCCTTATATTCATTTCACTTCATGATGTTGCTTTGGTTAACGACTTATAAGTCACCTTTGAGCCAAGCAAGAGTTTTCCAAATTCAATTCAAAAGTATCGTAATGCAGAAAAAACTTCACCACCAATAGTTACCCCTCATGTTTCTTTAACCGCGGTCCTGATTTCTTTGACAAGCCTAGTATGTAAACTTGGTTATGATATTTCGATCCACTTGATCAAAGATGAATAGAACACTTTCAAACCGTCGTATGAATTGAATCTGACAAAGAAAACAAAATTATTATCAGCTTCATCTTTTTTTTTACTCTAAATTTCTCTATTTCATCTAAAATATCTGTCTTTTTTTACTCTAACCAATACCTATACTCATCATTACAAGTAGCAAATAAATTATAAAATTAAACAAGATGAGTACATGACGTCTAACACATAGACTTCAAGTCTTTCACATGTTGGTCAATATGTTCAACAATTAATTGGAATATTTTCTAAAGCAACTTAAATGCTTTTTTCATGGGTGTCTATTAATTGTCTCAAAATATTAACAAAAATTGGGGAAGCAAGCAAAAGTCAATAAAAATGGCACTACATCTTGACTTGATTTATGAACATAATTACAACAATAATTAATACATACAGAATATATCAAAGTATGAAACAAGTATACGCGTTTGCTTGGGACCACATGAATTACGTACTTATTTATCAGTGACATTCACTTTTATTATAAAAGATAAAATTCGTATTGCTTAGTATGAACTCGTTTCACACCTTGCTTTCGTCTAAAAGAAGAGTTTATGAAGTAGGAAGGATTTTTTTGATAACAAGAAAAAAAATAATTCATCGATAACCTTTATGTTACTATCGATCTTTAGCCACTCCTCTAATTCGTGGTACTGAGTTTCACAAGTTAATACTTCCTATTCATTTGTGGGTCATCCAAGGGTTCTTTATTTTTATTTTATTTTATTGGAGAGGTGATTTCTAAAAACAATCATAGTTAATTAACATAGGTAAAAAAAAAATTCTTCAATATGCATCAAAATAGATCTCCACTTAAAAAAAATAAAAACATACCTTAAATTAAAACACGGATGCATAGTGCTTGAAAATCTATCGAACAATTCGAGTCAAATCTGAAAGAAAGCTAAAAATTGTTAGTTTGATGAACATATATTCTCATAGTATATACTATATACAATTAATAATTTATATATAAAAGCACCACATGAGTGACACGTCTATATGGGGCATATATATTTTGTTTTCAACGATAAAGACATCTCTAAGGATTTTTTATTTTTTTTAGAGAAAGTGTTTTTCGAAAAAAAATTCAACTAAACATATAAAAATAAGAAAATATTCTCCTATATACCAACCACACCATTAGGATATGTTTGGAGAAAAATATTTTCTTGAAAATAAATTTATTTTTCTATGTTTGATACCTAAGTAAAAGGAATTAATTTTACAAATACTACGAGAGATAAGTGTAATGGTGTGGACTGTGGAGATGGCTACAAGGATGGAAATAAAAATAAAGCATGTTAAATGATAAACTATCAAATATCGAATGAGAAATAAAATATTAGGTAAATGTGCTGAATCATTTTTCCTTTTAGTGGTCCAAAAAGATATAACTAAACTAATTAATCCATACACTAAGACATTTATTGTAAAGAGACTATACTAACATTTAATATTGAGCAACTTTCACAGGAAAAGGATAAAGCTAAGCTGACTTAAAAAAGTATTTGCTAATTAAAGTCAATTATGCAATGCTATCTCAATCAAGCAATTATTTAGTGGAGCCTTTTTCTAGCCACTCTCACATCAATAATTAAAATTTCTAATAGGAAAAATACATTAATGCCAAGAGATAATACAAACATTCAAGATAATATCAAATAGAAAGGCTCGTCCAGTGAGTGATGACACTAGCGAGTAAACTGCAAAAGGGTCTTGCTTGGTATAATATAAGCGGATGACTTAGTTATAATTAGCTCAGATGTGACTTCTTTGCTCGGTTTCGGTTGCTTGACTCAATAATGGCCCTTCAAAGTCATTGACTCCATATTTAGGGAACGGTTGAACTCCTTTTTTCTTTTTCAAGCTGTCGACAGTCATGTTCTTATATTTCTTTACTGTATAATTTCTCCGTCCCTTTTTACTTATCAGATTTTGACTTAACATGCTTATTTTACCTCTATTAATTGATAGAGTCTTAAACATATTTACTCATTATATTTTTCAAAAACATTAACTTAATGTTAATAAATTGAGGAAATAATAGAAAGTAAAACTTTATCATTCCTTGATTTGTCAAACATGACAAGTAAAAAGTAAATATTCACAAATTTACCTTAATTATTAATTTTTTCACCATTTAATTACCATGTGGTTATGTTAAACTTGTGTTGTTACTCTATATTTGGCGACAATATAATTAGTTTGAAATAATAATGTATATTTTCACCTTACTTATAATATAATTATTATAAACTAATTTAAGATAATATAAATACTAAATGCTAATAAATTTTATTGTTTGATTGGTCCAGGTTTCATACTTGAATCAACAAACATCGGATATATGCTCTGAATGAATGGAAAAAAAATAAGATATATACTCTGAATCATTTGTCATTCTTAAGGAGGATATTACTATATTTAATTTGAAGTATTATAAGAAAGATATTTATATTAAATTTTGATTAAATTTGTATTTATGTT